TTCGTTATCTTCAAGATATCGACCAACCCTGTTCAGTACGACGTGCTTAGCCACCTTGCCCACGCACGACGTGAGGTATATGGGGCGTAGGTGATCTAGGCTCGGCGCCTTTCCCAGTTTGGGTATGAGAAATATGTTAGCTAGCTTCCAGGCATCGGGTATCTCACCCTTTTTGCATATTTCGTTGATAGTGTCGGGGAGGTAAATGACGGAGGAATCGTCCAGGTTGCGTAGGAGATTGTTGGTGAAGCCGTCAGGGCCAGGGGCTGAGCGGCCATTGAGCTCATAGAGAGCTCGGCGCACATCTTCGATAGAAAAGTCGGCGTCTTAGTTGGTGTTGTCACTGCCAGAGAAATCGGGGTGAGGGGTCACAGGGCCCGTGGGAAGCGGGAGATATTTTTCCACTAGGTTCTTGACAACATCTTCCGGTGACACTGTCCGTTCAGCTTGACGAAGTATCTTCACGATCGAGTGACGCTGATTTGTGCGGGTGCTGGTTTCATTGAGGAAGTGTTTGAGTAAGTTCCACGTTTTGCCATTACGAACCTGACCATCAATCGAGTTATAGACTTTGTCCCACTGCTGTTTTAAAAGGATACGGCAGTGATCCATAATGGTCTTGCTCAGCGGAGATATGCGTTTGCGTAACCTCCGATTAAGACGCTGGCCCTTCTACCGGGCCAATAGAGACTGTTTGGCCTCAAGTAGGTGGGCGAGACGACTGTCCATCTTTTCGGTTGGATGGTCTGTACTGATAGTTTTGGTTGCCTTGTTTACGTCAGCTTTGAGCTGGGCCGTCCTTGTCTCGAGGCGTGGTTGTGTATCGGGAGCAGGTCGTTCTGCGCGTGTCTTACGAAGGAGGTCCCAGTCGACCCACGTGTACGACTTCATCTTCCTGCTTGCTGTGGGGAGGTGTACGACCAATATGAAGTGGTCGCTACCGAGATCAACCACGAGGTTGGACCAGCGGGCGTCGGCGATATTTTTGACAAAGCAGAGATCCGGCGTCGGTCTTTTTGCGTGGACGTACCGGTGCGAGTGGGGAAGACCTTGCCCGTTATGAGAATAAGGCCCATGTCATTCGCATTTTTCACAGCTCGTTACCTTTGTGTGTGTCATACGCATAGCCCCAGGCGCTATGCGCGGCGTTAAAATCGCCCTCAATCACTAGCGGGTTAGGTCCCGCGAGACGGACGGCTTTCTAGAACAAGCGTGTGAATCGTTGTCTATGATCGCTGGGACTACTTTATACATTGAGCATGTACACGCTTTGTTGTGATATGTTGCCAGGGAGAATTTCGACCATAAAATGTTAAATTTTGGGCAAATTGAGATGGTGCGCTTTGCAGCTAGGTAATCTTGTTAGCGACCAGGTTGGCGGTACCGCGTCCTCCCGAGGGGTCAGGCAACCACTGGTATCCGGAAAACGTGGCGGTTGGTACTATAGTGTCTTGTAATAGCATGATGTGAGGTTTGGATTTGCTGCTACGGAGGTATTGCTATAGGAGGGCTTTCTTGTGGGAGAAGCTCGTGCAGCTCCATTGCTAGATTCCCAACTCGTCATTTGGCCTGATCATCTTAAAGCATGTAGGAGTCGGCCTGAGCACCCGGCGGGAGCATAAAGGCCGCGTGAAGTGGTGGACTTGGCACGGATGTACGTTGTGACAACGGTTTACCCGTGGCAACGGCAGGGGTGACGACGTGATCGACATATTGCTCCACTTCGTCCAACCGATTACCGTGGGCCGCGATGGTAGACTGCACGAAAGCCATGCTTTCGCCAAGAAAGCGAAGGCTTTCCTTAATCGCCGATAGCATGCTCCTAATGTCGTCTAACTCTGCCTTTAAAGCTGGCTGGTCGTGGGCGACCGCGCGTTTCTTGGGTGCGCTCTTGCCGTCATCGTTATCGGCGCCTACGGGTTGCGGCTGCAACGGGGTGACTGCATTGTCGTCCTTGTCGGTGGTGGGCGTAACAGCGCGTGCGTTTCTGTATATTTTCAGTTCTGCTATTGTGACTGTGAGTTCGCGTATTGTTCCTTTCATCATCGCATCTTCGTGCTTTAAGATCGCAATCTCAGATGTGTTGTGTGTATCATGCACTGGGAGTGAACCCGACGCTACCTGTGATGTAGTGTTTCCTTCTCCCCGGACGGCGTCCGCCGAAGTGAGAGTTCCCCGCCTATTCTTGTTGGCCTTGCCTGGTGATGGTGGTGCCGATGGGCTCGGCGATCGTTAACGCGAAACCCCGGTGAGATTGGGGTGAGACCTAGAACCGGCGTAAGCCCCGGAACCGGAGTAGGAGACGTAGCGTGACCCGGAGCGTGACCCGGGCCGAGAACCTGAACGGGAACCGTGACGTGAACTGGAACGAGACCTAGAGTAGCCTCGCGATATAGATCTAATTGGGGTCCCCCTTCGGGCGCTGCAAGAATGGGTCCGAGGGTGGCTTCGGAACCTCGATGCACGCATGGTGCAGTTCCTGGGGACGACTCCGGGAACGGGACCGATTTAGGACAGGGATCGGCTGCCATCGAATCGACCGTCCGTAGAAAGCTTCGAGGCTTGGTCGTCGTCAGCGGTTGCGTTGAAGTCGTTCATTGCTTCGTGACTGTTGTGTTGCGTCGAGCAGGAGGCTTTGAAAGCTTTGCTGTGCTTTTTGCGGACAACTGGCCTCAGAGACAGACTTTAGTGTCTTATACTCTTTGATGTTGCCTTTCCTCTGTCGCATTTTTTTGTAATTTCTCTCTCTCTTCGCAACATTTCTTTTTAACATCTTTCATTCCCCTCCCCCCTTTCCCCAGCACAGGGTAGCCAGCCGGTCTAAGAACTGGCTAACCTCCCTGTCTTTCCGTTTAAACTTTCTTCCTCCTCCTCCTCCGAGTTTGCTCGCTCCCATCGTCGTCGGCGCACCACGTATGGAATGTGGTAGCATTCTTTACATTCTTTGTCGGCAGTGAGGTGCGCTCCCCCGCAAAGCTTGCATGTTGGTGTGCAGCGCTGTTCTTTTTCGGGGTTCGGCACGCTGCAGCCTCTGCAGATAACGTCTCCAGGGTTCGGGCACACGTCCGCTCGATGGCCGAGCCGACCACAGGCGTAGCAAATATCTATCTGTCTATAGTATAGTGTACAATGAAGTAGCACCAATCCATATCACACAAAATAGGGCACGTGATGTCCATCGAAGGCCACGATCACTGCGGTGGTACTTCCGATGCGCTTGGCAGCCAAAGCCAGTGGATTGCGGTCGTTAACAATCTTCGAATCAATGTCCACCGAACCGTCTTGGACGGGAATCCCTCGAATGACTTTGCATGTAGAATGTGGTGCCGCTTCGTAGGCACTAACTTCATAGGTCTTTTGAGCGATGCGGATTTCTTTAACGCGCACGTAGCGATTAGCATTTTCTCTCTTCGGCTTGCTTGCTACTAAGATATTCTGTTTAATGTTGGGGCAGAGCGTGTCTGCTTGCTGTTCTTATGGGCTGATACCTGCCCATGGGAACAGCAAGCAGACACGCTCTGCCAAGTCGAAATGGCTTCAGGGATTGTCGTTGGGCCAACCCTAGCGATGTTAAGGCCTCTCTGGGTCTAATGATAATGCGGATGTCGTTTTTTAGAGGTTGAGGCATTCGGCTTGCTCGAATAATTTTGTTTTTTCACATTTTCTCTGTTGCGGGGCTTGTGCTCGTTGCGTTTAGAAGCGCTTTATGACGGCGTACGTTTGGAGCCTTCATTTTGGGCTCGGCGACACGAGGTGGTCTGCCAGCCTTGGTCTGGTGGGATTGTTTTCGGGTCAATGTCTTACCCTGCCACTTGGTACCATCACTCAGCGAAACAGTGCAGCTACGGGGCGCGCGAGCGAGCACGCGCCACGTTAGAGCGAAGAAGGCACTCGTCAGGGCTAGCTGTCGGTGGGCGAGCGACGATTACGGAGGCTTAATAAAATGCAAGAAACAAGCGCTCATTGCGTCCAAATTGTGTCGGCAGAGTCCTTGTGTCTTCTGAAAGTCGTTGCACTAATATAACGTTCTAATCGCAAAGCAGCGCCGCGAAAACGTTGAATAAAGCAGGAGCCGTAGTGGAAGTGTTCGCAAATTCAACTTCGGACTTGATTGTTTTTAACGAGTAGCAAAATGAGGTTGTGATTTGGTCTCCTGATTAATGATGTCGAAATAGAAGCAGCTGTTAGAGTTGCCAGAACCATTATTGTCAGAACCTTTTGTGAGTGTAATTTATTTTCATGCTTGATCGAAAGAAAATAGTTAAAGCGACACGTGTATATATGCATCCCTCTGGTCTCCATATATTTACAAGCTGTGACAGGTGTCCTCGTAAGGAGAGACAGTAACGGGTCGGACCTTTTTTGTGCTTATATAATCATTTATAAATAGCATTCGTCAGGTAAACGCTGCCGATGTCAGGTTTTTCTTAACACTCACGCGTTAAAATCGTCCATGTATATTATCGTCTGTCGTGGGTAGATTCTAAGTACCTATCAAATGTGGCACACACCCGAATACCAGCAGTATTTACCAGCCCATGCGTATGTGCCGCACTATGGCGGAAAGGGTTTGACATCTTCCACGACAGGATTTTGACATTAATCTTGGGTTAACCAGCACGTCGTATTCGTGAAAACATCTCACCCTCCCATATCAATTGAGGTTCACGCCAAGTTGCGGGGACGACACCTGAGCAACCAGACATAGACAGATAGATAGATAGATAGATAGATAGATAGATAGATAGATAGATAGATAGATATAGACGCCAAAAGTGCTTGCAGTACACAAAGAAATGTTTCGCATTGAATGGACCCCAGAATAGCATATTGTAATATTCAAAATGTACATGCTAATTCATCTTTCAGATGTTCACCGTAATTATGCTGTATGCAAACGATTTCGCCCTCTTTAGCACTGTAATATTTCAACCTGCACTGAGTATGCTTCTCTTGTTGTATAAGCGAATGTCGAAGATGAATGTTTTTTTGCAGGTTCTGCACAATTTACATAAAAGCGGACAAAATGAAATACTCTCTGTCGTTCGGCATATCAATGATTTTTGTGGCGGCATCACATGCTTTGGATGACTGCGATAAGATGACTCTCCTAATAGGCAATGGTAAATAGACCATTATTAGTAGTACGGCTTTCAAATTTTTGCCGCGAACCTCTTAATACAGTTCGGGGGGTAATGCATTGAAGTGACACTTGGCACTCGTGCTTATCTTCAGACTACAAGGCTAAGAAGCGCTTAATATCAAATCGTTTTATTTGAGTGTCGGATATGAATTCATGCCGCATTGCTTTACATTGCGGCTGATCTACCAGTTTGTCGCGGTGTTGCGGCATCGAAAATTTTAGTGGCCGAGACATTCCTTTTAGCTTTGGCGTAGTTGTTGTGCCCGGCCGAACAATAAACAAGTAAGTCACAGATGTTCAATCTCTTAAAATCTCATTTTACATGCTTGCCATGTAACGTACTAATTTCTAGTCCAACGAAGGCCCCCAAAGGTTTTGGTGTAGTTATAAACACGAACTAGCGAAGCTTCCGTGTCTAAATATTACTATATAAAATTTTTCCCAAAGAAACGAATAAAATATGCAGTAAATCGCTAATGGGCTCCTATTCCTGACAGAAGTAGGTCTGTTTTCGAAGATGCACATTAGCACTACCATATAAGAGCATGTAGCCAGGCTACTCACAACCTCAGTGTAATTTTATCCGGTCTGTGCACCCACCCGTCAAGCGCTTTATGTGCGAAATGAGGCTTCTTGTTCCCATAAATGCTTCCCCCAAACAATGATGGTTTTCCTCTGTATTCAATGCTTTATCCTATAGATCGCGCTGACGACATCCCGTGAGTTTTTTAGCTGCGTCTGTTCACACTCATTCTGTATTCTTGTCTTTCAGCAGCTCGTCACAGCTTTACGCAAGAGACAGCTTCGCCGGTATAGCTCAGAAATGTCAGCCTTAAACTTCGGTGAACCTAGAGGCTTCCTTCTCTATAGGATGCAGGGTGACCTACCAATACTTTTAAGTGATTTTTAGTCGCTAAAACAATTTACGGCAGTTTTCGAGCATTTCGAGGTTACAAATTTAGTATTTGAAAGCAGTGAATGTGCCTGTATTTTTTCATTTCTTCAACCAACAAGAATAATTTATTTGGGAATCGCCAATACTTGACCACGTATCCTAACCACGTGATTCAACCAGCTGGCCACAGATTCAGCATGGTGACAAAAACGTCGGCGGTGGCTTGCATTGGCTCTAATCGCGAACTACCCGTGCAGCACGACGAAGCTTGATGACCTTAACGAGGACGTGTTCTTCAAGGTCCTGGTTTCGATTACGTTTACCGAGAGCACTTGCGTTGATGGTACAGCTGCATTGAGTCGGCATGCCCCAACATGTCTTACTTTTGTTTACAGGCGGAAGAATCCGCGCCGCCGCTGTCGGCGCGTTCGATCCTGTCGTTTCGGCTGGAATATCACCCGAAACAACGTTCGAAGAGGTGTGAGCTGTTTATTTTCATTAATTTGCGTGAATAACTAGAATTCGGTACAAACTTTAGTTCTCAGAGCGCAGGCGAAATTTTAAAAAAATTCGAAGTAACGATGGCAGCAGCGGCAGGACGGGGAAGAACGATTTTGACCATCTTCGACGCCCGCGGTTGTGGTTTTCGGCCACGCTGGTGTTTTAAATGCGGATGCACTTCTTAGTCGGGCTATGTCAGGGATTTGGCGGTGGCGTCTCCGGTAGCGGCTGCGTGCCCGCAGTTCTTATCTATCTGCTCTCACTCCCTCTCCCAATGAAACAGCAGCGGGTGTGCCCGCTTACCGTCGCCCCTAGCAACCGGAGCACGCGGTGCGAGAAAGTGTACGAGACGACAGGCGCAGTGCTTCGCCGCTCCTTCTCTCACCAGGCGCCTCTCTCTCCCTGCACCCCCACCCTCCCATCCGCTCGCGCCTCACTCTCGACCGTTCGCTGGCTGAGCTATCTCAACGTGATGGCAAAAGTCGGTGAAGGTGAGTGTTTGCCGGCAATGGTGCACTCTTTCGGCGCAAGAAGTGCATTCGGATTTTCATTACGATTCCCTTCGGGGATCGAATTCGCGAGGTAGTGAAGGCCGCAGAGGCAGGATGAGGAACAACTATTGTGATCGTCTTCGGCGCACGTTAGTCGTGGTATTCCGGCTGCTCTGGCGTTTTTAGATGCGGAGCATCTTATACTCGCGCCTTGTAGTGCGCCGTCCGCACCGTCCGCGCCGTCCGCACCGCTTCTCGAACATTCGACAGCTGACGCGCGCGCATGCGCCGTCGCGCCGTCGCCCACTCTTCCACCATCTGTGCATCCCTTCCTCCTCTACACACCGCGCGCGCTTCACTCCTCCACCATCTGTGCACCCTTCCTCCTCTACACACCGCGTTCGACATCTACAATTCTCCTGATTCTCCAGTGGACGCGTATGTGGCGTCGCGCTTCGAGAACATTCAACAGCTGACAGTGCATGCGCCGTCGTGCTGTATATATACTCAAGGTCGGCGCTCGCTCGCTCAGTTGCCGCTCGTCGGTTGGTTTGTACGGCGCGTCGACGTCCAAGGTCGCGGTGAAATGAATTCCAACGAATCCACAAACACAATGATCGACGTCCCTTCGACCAGCGCCGCCCTTTCGCATACGTGTGTACGTGTTCACTCATTTAACACCCCCTCCTACAACCACGTTAACCAATTTAGCCATCGACCCAAGTAAGTCGCAATTTAACACCCCATTTCACAACCACGTTAACCAATTTAGCCATCGACCCAAGTAAGTCGCACTTTAACACCCCGTTAACCAATTATATGGTCCGCATCCTCCTCAGTGTTCCCCCGAGGGAAGCTGCGGACAATTTTTTTTTCACATCACTTCTTAAGCGTGAACTTGCCCTAAGAGTGGTCACAACTCTACATTGACGGCAGTTCGAGAAAGCGCCATTTCATACGCTAGCGATCCTGCAACAAAGGCAGACTCAAGATATTTGATGACAGAAAAAGTCTGTCTCGCTATAATTACGTATATTAGCTACATCAATGTTCGGCCCTTACGAATAAGGGAGGCTTTTCAATGCCTGAGCAGCTACCACCCATGTGTTCATCTGGAAAATGACCACAACTTGATGACCAAGGAGAAGAAAATAGCGGCAGAAGCACTGAATCACAACTAAGTAGTTTATTAGAAATAACATGTAGCTTTATACAAGAAGTGTCACGTGCACATCGATAAGCGTAAAGAGTGGACTAAAACATGTGAAGGAATTCTTCAAATGTACATGTTCATGGGTTACTTAATAGTCTTCGTTTACTTTTGGCAGGGATGTGCACTGAGGGACCGCTGCCCATTCCACCAAATCAAGTTATGCAGCTACGGTGCCCATGTGCAAACGTGATGTGTCATGACTCCATGAGGCGAGTCACAATTACCTGGTAAGCCATGGGTTTCGAATGCTGTTTCGTAATGAAGCTGTTGAAACGAAATGAAAGGTTCCTGTTCTAGCTAGTATAAAATATAATTGTGGGCGAACATGCTTGACCTAAAGATATTTCTCGAGCTCCGATGTGGCATAATGCATTATGCTGCAAATTTTCAGGCATTACGCATACACACGTTTTCTGAACAGGATAAATGAGTTGCCGACCCGAAGACTACAGGGAAGCCGTTCGGCCCTTCAGTATCTTCACCATATGATGCTACAGTCGCATAAATTTTCTATTGAAACATCGCGTTCATAAATAGTAATAATTACCCCGTATGGCATTTATTTATCGATTCTACAATGCAAGAGTGACTACAGGTAATTGATATTATCACCAGGACTGCCACTCAAAAAAAAACGGCCAAATAATATGAAAGCATCTTTGATCTCAACTTAAAGATAAGGTGTAACGTGAAAGTGAAGTCTCCTCTCACAAAAGCAGTTGAAGGTTTGTTTTGCGCGTACGCTGATGTACGAGCGCCAGCACAATGTCTATTGGAGTTGTCAGCTATAGGCACCGTTTGAAGGGAATTCACTGATGTTTGTGCCTGTAGTCACATCTCAGACGCGACACCTAACATATATCATCATAAATAAAAATTTGTGGTACACTGTGAACACGTTTTAGCCTTTAAGGAAATTCTAAGGTCGTGCTCCAGCGTGCATTCCAAAGGTAATAAGGGAAACGCCTTTTAAAATGAGGTTTTCACAAACACCCTTGTTTGCGGTGTTTTTCTGGGGTCTCTTGGGAGTTTTTTGCTTCGTTTGAGTACCATGCTGAAGCTAGAGCCGTCCACTTCGAATCTTTCTAGTGGTCAGCCTGCTTTACTAAACTTATTTATTGACAAATATTGCTCGTATTCGATTTATAATTGAGCAATGAAGCTTCGCTAATTGTTCTATGCTGATAAAATAGCTTAGGTTTTTAGATACACGGCCAATTTGTGTTGGCGAAAGGCTTAACAAGCTTAGTTTACGAAGTAAATGGGGTCAAAGAGGTAACTTAAGAGGTAACGTTGGTGTTTATTAAACTCGAATTGGGGCCTTGATTGGAGCGTAGTGGAAGTTTTTCTGTTTCTTTTGATGGCCTTAAAAACACCCTTTTAGACGCGACCGAGAAAACAAAGTATTTAAGGCACAAAATTATAGTTTCGAAGATATTTATTCCCATAGGTTATCGCAGGGACGTATTAGAAAATGTACATCCACGCATTCAGACACAAACATGACGCTTGCATACAAGTGCGCACGACCCAGGAATCGAACTTCGGACCACACGCACTGAAAGCAAACACAATATCCATTACAGCAAAGCACCGCCACTAGCTTGCCTGGTTAATCACGGTCATTTTATGTACAAAGCGGCTACTAACACGTCGGCGACACTTCAAACTTTTGTTCTCGTATCAGCGGCATATGTCAGCGCTTGTACAAGGCCCCTGCATAAACTGAAGGGTGTCATGCAGGCCACGGTAAACACCTTCGACTTCGAACTATTCGGCTCGTCATGTCGTGCCACTAGACAAATGGTAAACGTGTGCCCACTTGAGCATTTCTCCATACACCGACAGTGCTTCCCTCGCGCCAAACTTTAAGATACCAGCGTGACAAAACGCATCTTCAGATGACCGAGCATATGTGCATTCTATGGGCCTATGCTGTGGAACTATTTTCGGTACTTCTGCCTCGACCTGCACGCGTCCCATGGCAGCGGCGTGTTCTCAGCTGTTCGAGACCACCCGTATATCCATTGTAGGTAGATGTCTGAGACTGCGGCCGCACAAATTCTTCAGAGACAAGGACGAAGCACTGAGCGAATCATCTTTATCATTTCAAAGCTCTGCCGCGAGTGACTATGAGCGGCCAGCGCGAGCATGCCATCTTTTATCGTTCTCGTCTGCCACCGGCGCGTTCACTGCCACCACCGTTTGCCATAGCAGATAAGAAATAAAAATAAAATTTACACACGAAGATGCCCATAAGCGTGCACAGAATTCTTATTCAGCGGGAGAGGGAAGGGGCGAAAGTTTGTCGCAGCGCTCCCTCTGCCTATTAAGTCAATGTACGGAGCAGAGTTCGCACCCTCTTCCCCTGAGGATGCAAGGACGCTAACGCGCCTACACCAAACCTTTACTGAGCGCGCACTGTCGCGAACCAAACGCAGGGGAAGCAGTGCCTGCCTTCTGAGCAGCTTAACCATAATCTGTATCCGCAATCAGCACTTATTCGCAACCTGTATTTTAGCGCGGCACACGATTGATACCTAAGCCAAACTCAATATTTAGTTGATTTAGCACATAGTTGACTTCCCACATTCTTACTATTCAACTTTTTATTGCTGAATATTGCACAAATTAGCAGTTGACAGGTCTCCCGCTAAATAAAGAAGGTATTTCACAAGCATTTCGCCCTCATAAATGGCCATGTGTATTTGGTACTCCTGTTTTACAGATGATGTAGCGCGAATAAAAAACAAGTGCAGAGTTACAGTCTTCCTCTACCCCAGACGCCCACTTCGGCTAATTTGTATTTACAGTGTAACTGTAGTCCACAGGTACAATACACGTGGATACCGGTGGACTATCGTAAAATCCACGAAAAGATGCCCTCAGCTTGCAAACGACAAATTCTAGAATTTGATATATACTTTTTTCAAAGTGTGGTCATTTACAGAGTCAAATACGAAGATGTGCGGTCTCCGGGATCAGCGTGACCAACACATCTGCTCATGCATGGCTCAGGCAGAATTTCAGGAACACTGAAGAAGAAGTTCGCAGCTTTTACTGACTGTGAACGCCCGAAAATGTTTCATTTCGCGTCGACGTCTCGCACGCATAAACAAAGAACCAATTTGCATGACATTCACCCGTCAGCATCGACATTCGGACACCATCCCTCTGCTCTCTTTATTGCAGCCAGTTCGTTACATTTCACCTCTGAACTAGAAGCAGCAAGCGGCGGGGAAACTTCATCTTATTTGGAAACTACCGTACGTTAACTAGGAAGGGTCATATGATGACGCAAAATCCAAATTATGTAACTGCAGCTTTGCTGAAGCGAATCCCCACGGAAGTTGCATTTCGCTGGCAATTTATTTTCTAGTCATACCTTCTTGTATCTGACCTCCTTTCAGAATAACACTGTCCTCCACTAAAAGAAAGCGAGAGCAGCATCCGAACCAGAGCATAGGTCGACTTAGAGAAGCAGTCTTATGAACTTTACTAATGATGCGTCTTTTCGCTTCAATGCGTAGCTGTCAATCCCGCAGTGACGATTCGGTACCAACAGAGGGACAAAATTATGCATGTACTATCGATTAGCATGAATTGTATCAAACCAAATTGAACACCGGTGCTTTCAGCGCAATTTTCAGCGCTGCCAAGCAATCGCCTCCCGCGCTCCCACCCATCTGATCACGTGACCAGACGAAATGGTGACGCAATTTTGAGTTCACAATTCTTCTGCTCGGCACGCACATGTATAGGAATGTCCTCGCGTTTGCCCCGCCACGGTGGTCTAGTGGCTAAGGTACTCGGTTGCTGAGCCGCAGGTCGTGGGATCAAATCCCGGCTGTGGCGGCTGCATTTCCGATGGAGGCGGAAATGTTGTAGGCCCGTTTACTCAAGTTTGGGTGCACGTTGAAGAACCCCAGGTGGTCAAAACTTCCGGAGCCCTCCACTACGGCGTCTCCAATAATCATATGATGGATTTGGGACGTTAAACCCCACAAATCATGAATGTCCTCGCCAAACTCATTGTCGTTGCCGTCGTCATCAGCATCCACTATCGACTATGACAACGCTGAAAAATATGAAATCGCGGTAACTCGTGTCGTGGCGAAACATTTTTGGTTCGATCCTTTTCTGACTATCGATTCTAAAGTCGACGCCGGACGAAGCACTGATGAAGCAGCTCGAGGTTCGTTTTAACCATGCTGGCTGGTAAGGCATATGAGTGCTGCGTGTGTGTTACTTGTTCGCGACGACCGTAGTTTCATATAATAACATTGGCGCTCATGAATCCATGACAATAACAAACTGACCCAGCTAAAACACAGGATTCACACGAACGCGTTGCAGGAAGCAAGCTAAATAAAGCGAGAGAAGTCGTTGCCACACAGCCAGGCGTCGCCAGCAGATAATACTACATATAGACACGGTGATGACAACACACAAAAAATATGTCGACGTCATCGCTGCTCTCTTATTGTCACTAGACACCTGAGGTGTGACCTAGGAGCTTGCTGAACTCGTCAAAATACTGTGGATGTCTCATGGCCGCCAACGCGCCGATGTGCCTCGAACGCTCGAAATAGAGTAACTTCTACGTAATAAACACGATTCATACTTCGATAAAAAGTTCATGCGTACCAAGCAATCGAGTTAACGCCACATTGATAATTTTGAAATTTGGTGTCACTGCTGCTTCAACGTTACGTTCATCACAGGTACATTGCTCAATAATCAGGCGTCCTTGCAAGTTACGCACACCATAAATTTACTGTAGTTTTTATTGCTCTTACTCGTCCAGAACTCTTCGAGCACGCCACGCTAGAGTTACTCTACATGCTACCTTTAGGTAGCAGAGTTGCGCTTCTGTTTCTGGGCGCCGCTCGCTCCGCCTACAGGAGTTCAGTGACCCTATTCGCCAAGCGCCATCACGTGGTCATAGGTGGTTGATTTGCACTGCGGAGAAGCCAACGTTACGCAGATTTTGGCAGATGAAGCGGGGTTGACAACAGCCATTGTCATTCTCGCCACGCTTCTTCTGTAATGTAGCCATGCTACCTGATATGTGGGGTTTAACGTCCCTAAATCACCATAAAATTATGAGAGACGCCGTAGTGGAGGGCTCCGGAAATTTCGACCACCTGGGGTTCTTTAACGTGCACTCAAATATGAGCACACGGGCCTACAACATTTCCGCCTCCATCGGAAATGCAGCCGCCGC